ATCAATTGGTGCATACTCCAACCAACACCAGGCTACATGAAGGCAATATATATATATATACATGGATTTGTTAATGGTTTTTTGATGGTCCCAATATTCCGTCGAAATCATGACACTGTTATATCTGAGCAAAATTCCCGATGATTCGCTTTCAGAAGAGCTTCCAGCTAATAACTTGAAATGTCGCTTGTCAGTCTCAGTTTTCTCTTGAGCATAATCAAGGCATTATAATAAAATATGCAAATAACGGCTGTCAATACTAGCGCAACCAATGCGGGAAGTGTTGTAAGACTATTTTATTGGGAATTTACAAGCAAATGCATCAGAATTTGTTTGAACAGCTGATTTAAGTTTTTTTAGGTTCTTATTGTCGCTGTAGTTCACAAATTTTCAGCATCAAATGCACAGTTCCAGATCACGTTAAAATGTTTCTGAGACTTGTTGTTCTTATAAACCAGTGACATCCCGAATACAGCCTAAAAGAAGACCTTGGGTTGAATGACGATGAGGATAAGGCGTAATGTGGCCATAAGTTGCACCATTCGCATCAGGACCCACAACTTGTATTCAGACAAGCTTACTACAGACAGCTGTCTGCAGTGGCACACACATTTGAACAGCTCGTCCAAGAACCTCTTCCATGCAACTCCCGTCGTACATTCTTGTCCGACCCCAGATTTAACTTCTTTATTGAAGTCTATGTCTGTCTGAATATGCCAATTTTTGCGCTTACTTCGCCTTTCTTGCACTATCCTAGACTATCACTTCCATTACTCGTTTAACACGTTGACGACAATGTCGCGCAATGGTGCGCGACGGTGCATTCTTCGATTAAAGTGTGTGTGCTCGTTCCGTTTTTTGTGCAGATTTTCAATTTGGGNTGCAGTGGCACACACATTTGAACAGCTCGTCCAAGAACCACTTCCATGCAACTCCCGTCGTACATTCTTGTCCGACCCCAGATTTAAATACTTTTTTGAAGACTATGTCTGTCTGAATATGCCGAATTTTGTGCTTACTTCGCCTTTCTTGCACTATCCTAGTCTATCACTTCCACTACTCGCTTAAAGCTAGACAACCCAAAATTTTCGTGAACGGTGCATTCAAACTAGAGTGCTAATTATTTATTAACAATTGATTATAAATAATGTGCGCAACAGATAAGTTGCAAACAATTTTACCTCAGAGACTCAATCTGCCGCCACTTATTCTACTGTACAAAAGTGATGCTCACTGTGACGAATAATTTCCTGGCTTGCCTCACGTAGAGCACCTATGTACCATTTCCTGGTGTGTACGAGTGGTGAAGGGATTTCCCTTCACAGACTTTGTTGCCAGGAACTGATGGGGAATGCTGCTTTTCCAGAATGGAAAAGAGTACACCAATCACTGCTACGGTCATCCACTTCCTGTTCTCCTTCACGTGTTTGTTCAATAACCGATTAAAACTTAGTAGATCTCTGTTCCAGTACTCACGCTCACGTGATGTCAAAGTATGCTTACTCGGAGTGGCAGGTGCATTACAGGAGAGCATAGGTGAGCCAATCAGATAAGCAGAGCTTTGAGTAGATATGCTCCGATTACACCTCAAAACGCTCCCCTAACTCACTTCAATGATTGAATGTGAAGATTTCGACCTCAGCACTGGGTTTTACCTAGTATTCATGTACTTATTATCTGCTGTGGCTGTCCCTCTAAATTTACTCAGCTTATACTGTATTCTCACTAAATCGCCAGCACAAATGGCTGCCTATAAATGGTATTTGCTGATCTACCAGACGATATCTACCGTATTCGATACCGTGTACCTAGTACTCACACTGCCAATTATATTCTTCCCTATACCGATGGGTTACCCCGCCTCCTGGACTATACCATGGATACCTATTACTACACACTTAGCTGTCCTGTTGGTTGTTTATATAGCTACGCTTTTTGGGGCCACCATTGTCAGCCTATTCATGTATCGATGTCACGTCATTACTCCGGCTCGTCACTTTTCAAAAATCAGCCACCAAGGTAAGTGAGCACAGCTCGGAACTGTTCTCTAGAAAGGTATGTCATGGATACCCGTGTCGTTGCGTGTAAACCTAATTGGAACATCCTCTTCCGCTAATTATTTGCAGGTTAGTAGGAAGTTCCCTCTCAGGAATGCTGGCCTGTACGATTCTCCCGGCTTGATATTGAGAAATGAAGAACCAGATACGCAGCTCTCTCGTGTTGCACCAATGCTTGAAATGGAGAGATTGACGTTCGATGTCTACAGAACCTTCAAATTTTCGAGAGCACCCACCATACGGCATAGGCGATATACAGGGTACGCTATAAATATGGTAACAAAAGAACTGGGCCACAGAAGCCGCAGTTCTTCGTGATACATGGTGAATTCATATGAGTTATTTACTGTACCTCTATAAAACGAACATACAGCGATCATATATAACCGTCTCCTGTTCTAATTATAGCTCAAAAACTCTTCGGCTACTCATCGACGGCGGCACGCAGAGATTTCTGGGAATCTCAAGCCTGGGGTTTTTTTCAGTGATTTCTCAGGAGCAACAGCAGTGGTGCGTTTTGAAACGCAGGCTTTCCTCTCCGGTATGGACTACATCCAGCGACCCATAAGACTGTGGTCCGGAAAATCCGTAGGAGGATTGGAAGCTGGGATAAAATCGCGAACATTTCGTTAGCACCAGTCTTGGTCTTTTCCAATTCTTGAGCAAGTGAACCATAGTTTTCAAATCGGATCCCTGGAAAAATCTTTGACCCTCAGCTGCATCTTTTCAGAAAACCCCTTCTTAGAAAGGTTCAGAGTAATTTTTGTACTTTTCTCGACCAAAATCTGCGATATCGCTCTTAAGGTAGAGTTTCTAGCCCAAACTATCATGAAGAAGGAAAAATGGCTTTGCGAGGAGATCCGACTCTTTTCAAGGGCTTCAGCACTCGTAGTGTGAAACATACGTACCTTTTAGGATCTTAACATTTCTTCCACGCTGAATACCCTTTAGTCAGAAAAAAGTGTGTCGAAGCGCGTGCCGCGCGCAAGTAGCGCTCGGCATTTGTTTTACCTCTTTATCTTCTTCTCGTTAAAAAGCTTTCAAGGCTTTCGAATCTTATTTGGATACAATTGTATTTACTCTGGATAGGCTTTTTCCAACGGATTAGAACATACAAACAAATTAGCAGCCATTTTCCTTGTGTTTCTGCAGGTTCCGCAGCGTACTCCTTCCCAAGCAATTGCACTCGGAAAAGGGGTCGTATGTGAGACAGGACGACCGTATTGAGGTTTGTCATTGACCTGTCTACACATCGCGATTGAAGAGGCTTTCATGCGTGAAATGTTGAAACGAAGAGCGATCCCGGAAAAGGTCTCACCAAATATGCGCAAAGGCGGAACTATTGGTGGATCTCTGCGAGCCTCCACCGTTTTCGAAATCTGACGAATTGAGAGCACCAAAATAGAGATATGTGGGCTCAGGTATATCATAAAAATAATGAAGGGTGCAGATTTGGAGAAACCCTCCAAACAAGAAAATTACGGAGGTCCGAAAAGTTGTTACCATATTTATGGCTCACCCTGTAGTAGCTAGTGGCGCACTATCACACACACATGGTCATGGGTCCTAATCCCGGAACGAGCCCGTCTAGGTCTGCCAAGCCTTCCATTCCTCCGGGTTGGTCAGTTGGTATTAGATTTGTCTGGGAGGATAAATGCACACCGGCTGGCCACCCCAAGTCATTGTATAAGCCACATACGCATTCAAAACGCTACAATGATTTTAAATGGAAGTCGAATGCGGAGGCGCCGCCCTCAGAAGAGATTGATTGAGGTGCGAGGAGTTTATCAATGTTACTTGCTAATCCTACCATATTTAGGTCACATCTATAAAAGTACTGCAATTTTCCTAACATATGCCACTCCTATTGTGATCAATTCAACTGATATTTTACCTGATCAATCAGAGGCGAGAATGTGGGCAGAAAAGGTAATTTTCACCAAGACTCACTCAATAAGTTGTATTGCCGTGTTGCACCTATGCAGGTTAGGATGATATAGATACTCAAAAGCATACATAGTAAGTTTTGTTGTAGAATGAAGCCTGAATCGAAATTCTCGCTACCTTATTTAAGTCAGCAATCAACACTACATCAAAGAATGAATTGTACAAACGACTCATTGACGGTTGGAACCTCTAAAAAGGGTCAAGTCAATGCGAAGCAAAATCTCAAACCGCTATCGCTCAAATTCCAAAGGCACAGTTTACAATAATTTTGAGGTACCCTTTTTGGGTAGAAAAAGGAAGTTTGATCTAGAGGAGTACATCAGTGGCGAAGGAAGCAAAATCGACCTACTCAAAGGCTTTTTAAAAGTAGTGAAAGTGGAGATTGTACGAGATCACCGTGACGGTAATAGCATGTAAAAAGTGTTTGGACGAGATTTAACTTGCTTCAGTTGCTCAAAGAGATGACGACTCAAGCCGAACTTGTCTGAAACTGCCTTTCACTGTCGCCGTGGGTTACGACAAGTTGTTTGAACTTCCTACATGGGAGTTAAGATGGTGCAGCCTCTACAATGCTGTTAAATCTCGTCCACGATGGGTGTGGCATTCACACGATACAGTCTCCGGCGCCTTATTGTGCACTACCCACTTTTTTGACTTTTTTCGACTTTATAACGGCAGATATGGTATAAAGGGGAGCTTCGAATTCATACACATAGGAGAATCTCATAATAAGCTGTTAATCTGCAGACCTGAGCGCCACGCGCTACGGCTCCTTCTCGATTATATAAGCGCTTAGCTCACAAAAATGTTGCATCTAACCTCTGGTCTGGCCGACGTTTCATTCTTGCACGCCAATTTGATGCCTGTTCATCATCCCTAGCAAGAAACCGCTGATGTAAGCGGAATTCGATTCAGGGTTCAATCACTGGACCATTCTAGTGAATGCGGAATATCGTCATCATTCCATCTATGAAGAATAGATCAAATGTGATAAAACTGTCGAATGAAATGAAAAATGAATCCTAAAATGTCTATTTTCAGGAGTTCACATGTGCGAGATCTGCGTTTTCTGTGCCAAATCTTCAGATTTTTATCCCTTCCAAATTACTTCGTATTGTCTTGACGATTGTTTTTGTGTGCTGTATGGCATTTATAATCTCTATTGGCAGTGTAATTGCATCATTCAAATTTCTTCGCGACAACAGCAGTATGTCTCAAAAGACAAAGCAAATGCAGAAACGATTTCTACGCTCTCTTATTATTCAGGTTAGTGATCACATATTTTTGGCCTATTATTGTTACAATTACAATTTAAAAAAAGTGAACCCCAAAAAAGAAGCATTGATTACACAAAATGATCTGAAGGCACGATTAGAATATTGGTAGAAATCGCATTTGTTCAACTGCTGTTAAGAGCTGAGCCCCTTTTGTTTTGAAGTCTTTGGGCGTTAATCAACCCTATCTGAGGGGTGCGCGCCGCATTCAACTTCCACTCATAATCGTACTGGCGTGTTGAATGTGTATATGGCCTACACATTGGGGTGGCCAGCCGATGTTCAAGTCATTAACCTCCCGAACGCGTCTGATACCAATGACCCGACCGCAGAGGGATGGAAGGCTTGGTTGGCCTATGCGGATATCGATCCGGGATTCGAACCCGTGACCATGCGTGTGTGATAGTGTATCACTTGCCACTACACCACCTATCACAGATCGAAGGCGATTCTCACTACTTTGCGCACTAAACACCACACCTTCAATGCGCTCCAACATGCCTATTCTTATTCTTGCTTTCCGTACATCAACTGACTACATGGGATTACAAAGCGCGGTAGTTTTTGAAGTGCTTTCCAAAAAG